ACTGGGTCCTATATTTTTCATATGCCTGACATGGTGCCTTATATTTGGCAAATATACAATAAGTACTTTTAACCAATCACTGAGTTAAGAAGCCTTTCTGTTCTGTGAGATTTTTGTTTTTAGGCTTGCAAGATGAAATGTGTTACTTTCAGGCTTTTTACTACTGGAAAATATAGGAGTATAGAAAGAGTTGTTTTCAGTGACTATAAGTTCCTGCAGATTTCAGTCATTTTGTCTTAGTCAAGCAACAACTTTTATTAAGTAGCCATTACATAAACACTGTGGGGATTTGTCAAGCAATAGACCTGCCTCTGCTCTTGGGAATTTATTAAATAATGTGGAGGGAAAAAATTATAAACATAACAAAATATTAACATTTTCGCTTTTGTTTATATAGAGGAAAATATCAGTCCAAAAATCAACTATAATTTTTGGATTCTTAGTTACACTAAATAAATAAAATACTATTAATTCTCCCTGCAGAAAGATTAGGCAAATGTTCAACTTGACTGTTATATTTAGAAAATCAGCATCTATGCAATTTTGAATACTGTATGGCTAGAAAAGAACCTGAAATACTTGGGATCTTATTCTGTAATATGAGACTTTCCCAACATATTTCTAAATAGAAGTTTTATTAAATACAAGTTATACAGCATAATGTGTTTGCTGTGAGAATCATACCAGCTGGTCAGGGTTTTTTTAGTTTTTTGTCTGTGTGTTTGGTTTTGGTGTTGCATTAGTTTCCTCGGGCTGCTATAACAAAGTGCCACAAATTGGGTGGGTTAAAACAACATACATGTATTGTCTCACACTCCTGGAGGCTAGAAGTCCAAGATCAAGGGGTCGACAGGGCCATTCTTCCTCTGAAAACTGTGGAGGCAGTTACTTCCCTGCCTCTTCCTGGCGTCTGGTGGTGGCCTTCAGTCCTTAATGTTCCTTGGCTTGCCGCCGAATCACTCCAGCCTCTGCCTTTGTCACCACATGGCCTTGTCCTGTATGTCTGTGTCTTCATGTGGCATTTTCTTCTTCTCATAAAGAAACCAGTTATAATGGGTTCAGGACCACCCTAATGACCTCATCTTAACTTGGTTACATCTGTAAAGACCCTATTTCCAAATAAAGTCACATTCACAGGTACTGAGGGTTAGGACCTCCGTGCGTCTTTCGGGGAGGATACAGTTTAACCTCTAACAGATGTATACGTTAACATTTTTAAGAAGTGTTAGAAACTTAACCTTGGTGCGTGGTACAGAAGGAAAGACCGTCTTTGGCAAGATTGCTTGATGAGTTGCTATCAAGACTCCTAAGGTTGGAATGGAAAGGAGAACTTTGGCTAGCATCCCCACTCTGAGGACCACCAAAATCCAAGAGGTGTAAATAAATACGCCCAGTCTGGTAAACGAAGATATTTTACAGCATCTCTAATAATTTAGGATCTCTAAATATTTATAATGATACAAAAAAAACCCCCCAAAACCAAAAAACAAACCCTAAACCGCTCCCATCATTCTTCCTGTGCCTTCTCTTCCCCCATCATGTCTTCTCACTCTTCTTTCCCACACAGGACTTCTTCTCCCGCCCTGGGCCTCCAGCCATGACATCCTGCCAGAAATGGCCTGGACTCCTAGGAATTCCCCTTCCTATCCCTGCTGTTGCTTAGAATGATCTCAGCCACCTTCCTACATACCCATCCGACTGGGGAAGGCGAAAAGGAGGGGATGACACTAGAAATAGCTGTGTTTCAGTCAAATCCAAACTTGACTAAGGGAAAATTTAAATAATCAAGAACTGGCTAGGGGCTGGCCAAGTGGCACGTTGGTTAGAAGTTGGCTTGGGATGCCAACTCTGAGCAGCAGGGCCCTGGTTCGGATCCCACATTAGGGCCAGTGATGGCTGCACCCTCTACAGCTAAGATGGTGAACAACAGCTCGACCTGGAGCTGGGCTGCTGTGAGTCGCTGACGATGGTGTAGACTGCAGTGGGGCTGGCGGGCAGGTGGCGTGAGCTTTTGTGAGCTGCTGTGAGCGGCCGTGAGTGGCCGTCCAATGGCTGACGAGCGACTGCCTCACCTGGGAACAGCGCAATGATAATACCAACGTGGGCCAGTAAAGCAACGTCCTCCACAACTAGACTGAAGAACAAAAGGACAGCAACTTGTGTGTTCCCCTTCCCTGATTCCCCAATGCTGTTACCCTCCCCCAATTCCCCAATAAAATCTTAAAAAAAAAAAAAAAAGAGCTGGCTATAGTGGCGATGACCTAGAAAAAGAAAAACGTGTGTCAGGTTCCTACTTGGCCTCTAAGATTTGTATCCTTCACCTCCCTGGAGCCATAAACTGTACGTATCTCTTCTTTACACATTTCCTGTGCTCAGTAAAGTAGCACCCTGGATCAGAACTTATCTCCCCATTGAACACTGCACATCAAATTGCCCTGTTCCTCCTGAACTTTGAGCTTCAACAGCCTGGGGCTGGAGAGGAAGGGAGGAAAGGAGACGTCACTGATTAAGGGTTCTAGAAGGGGTTAATGATGCAAAGGTTGGTTTCAAAGCCAGCACTGAGGTGGGGCAGGGAGGACTTTGCCCTGAGAAGTCTGGGGCTGGGAAAAGGTGACAGTGAACCATAGAGCACAAATTAAACACTAAAGACAAAGGAATAGTTAAGGGTCAAAGCATTAGTTGTCAACTTCCATCTTCTTGTCTTCTTCCTCACACCACTGTCAATTCCTGGAGACAAGTTTTGTCTTGTTTACCACTGTATTTCTAGCACTCAGCATCCTGCCTGGCATACAGATGCCAGCCTCTCTAACCATCTTTCATTTCTTCTAATTTGCAAAGCTTTCCTATTACTGAGCCTTAGCACAAACTAAGAACATTTGATCTAGAATACTTCTCTTTTTCAAGTGATGGGCTCCTTCTCATTCTAACAGCTTAAATGTTAGCTCCTTGGGGAGCACTACCTCTTTTTAGAGTAAATTGCAGAGAGAGAGAGAGAGAGAGAGAGAGAGAGAGAGAGAGAGAGTTAGCCTCCATCACAGCATCCTGCGTATTATCTTCACAGCCTGTACAATAATTTGCAATGGTTTGCTTCTTGTATAACTCCTCCACTTGACTGTATGTTCTAGGGAGAGAAAATGCATATCCACCTTGCCCACTATTGTAGTCTCAGCAATCAGCACACCCACAGCTTTAAATAAACAAAGGATAAAGGACAAAAGAACGAATACATACATGCAGAATTGAATAAACCTATCAGAATTTTAATACTAGGTTACATGGGGGTTTTGGCATAAAATAAAGATGGAATCTTAGACCAGAGGAGGAAAGATGAATCATTTATTAACTATCTAGGATCGATTAAATAACTAAAAAGAAAGCTGTGTTCCTTCCTTCCTTATTCTATATTAAAATCAATTCCAAATGGATCGAAGATGCAAATCTCAAAAAATGAAGTCATTAAAATAACATGAAGAAAATATAAAGAAGTTCTAATCATCTTAATGCAGAGATGTTTTTCTAAATAAGCCAAAGAACAAAAAGATTGATATATTGAAAAACAAACTCACACTTTCTTCACACACATATGCACACTCAAAACATACTCAGAGACAAAAGACTAACAACAAATTGGGGGAAGATAATTGTTACACTTGACAAAAGCCTAGATCTTATAAACCAAGTATTGTTACAAACAAATCATGAAAGGATTAATAACTCAAAATAAAAATAAAGGACATAAGCAGACCACAGAAAAATTCATATAAATGAATTCTAAGGAATGAGACATATTTTAAGACTATCAAAGGAAAGGAATGTATGTTAAATAGTGAGATAGCCATTTTTTTATCTTTGAAATTGGCAGAAATAAAAACTTCGATAATGTTTAGTGTTGGCCAGTATGTGGGGAGATGAGCACTGGCATGTTATCACAGTAGGGGTATACGTTTTGTCTTTTGAAAGTCAGCCTCATGGGTCAGCTTATCTTCGAGAGTGGTTCAGCATTTTTATATCTGTGTGAGGGACAACTTGGCAGCATCTACTGGGATTTTAAATGCACATACTCTTTGGCCAACAATTGCATTCTAAGATTTTATTCTACAGATAAACATGGACACATATGCAAAGACTCATGCAGAAGACGAAAGAACTTAATTGACCTTGAATAGTGGACTGATGAAATAAGAATTGGTTCATTCCCACAATACACTACCATGTGGTCACTGGAAAAAAAATGTGTGTCGATGACATGTACCTCTTTAGTATATGAAACATACAAGGCATGGAACAGAATGCATTGTACAAACTTATTTCTTGAGGAAAAAAAATAGGGGAGAGAAAGAGAAAGAGAGAGAGAGAGAGAGAGAGAGAGAGAGAGAGAGAGAGAGAGAACAGGAGCTGTGTATATGTACCATTTTTGGAAAGATTCACAAGAAACCACTGGGAAAAAGGACTGGGAGATCAGTAGGCTTACTTTTAATGATACCTATTCATATTATTAGAAAAAAATATTTGCCATCTGCACATGTTACTTTTTAAATTTAAAAGCTAGCTAAATTATAAAAAGAATGTTAATATAACTCAGTGTAGCCCTCAAAAAGATTCTCTGTGCTAATAATAGTGATGTTAATAAAATAGAAAGATTTTCCAGTCTGGTTTGGTTAATGCTTTTATTACAAGGTATGAAATTTTAAATGAACACTCAAGAATAGTTCTTTCAGTAATCCAGGAGTGAGACAGGTTCAGCCCTTTTGTTGTAAATAAGTTATTCTTTTTTAAAATAAATTACTCAACTTAAAAAAACCTACACTTCATTTATTAATAAATATCTTATTTTAAAAATGGCCGGCAAGGCAGCTTGGACAGGTTACGCTCATTTGTAGCTATGACCACTCCCTACCCATCCCCAACAATGTATTCAAATTCAATGCCAAAAGTTACTGATTAAACTCTAGAGATATTATGTCCTAGGAAAACCATTATAAACTTGGCCTTCAGGAGACCTGATCTCTTAATGAAATACAGAACAACTATCTCTGAAAAACGAAAATGGGCAATCGCCATGTAAGTATTTATTGCCTTTGGGAATCAAACGAACGAAGTTTTAATTTGGTTAGCCTGTGGAAAAATTTAAACTGTGAAATCGTGATTGATGCTTTTATTCTTTATCATTGTGATTACCCCCTCATTATTGGTTTTCACAACAGCATACCATGCTTTTAAAATGCATTGGGCATATCTTTTTTTCTCCAATAGTGAAAAATCTCTTAGGAGGGGATAAAGAGAAGTGTTTAAAATAAGGTAGTACATAGTGCCTCAAAAAAGGGGGGTGGGGGGGAATATTGAACATGTATTTCTCATGTAATACTGAATGTATGACTCAAGCTGTTCATTTGTAGTGAAGTTGCACAAAACTTTATAGAGTCTGCCCATCAGTTTTATGGGGAAGACAGGTTTCTGCTACAAATACTAGTAGGACAGGATAAAAATACTCCTGCAATGCCATGTAACTTGGATTGAAAGATTTTCATCTTTCAGTATTCTAGTATTATTTAAGCATCAAACATCCAGATATTTTCACATACTCGTGGACTGGACCCAATGTTTTATTTGTCTTCTGCAATGTCTAGGTTCATGTGAAGTGTGTGTCTATAAACTATTAAGGACTAAAAATGGACTAAAATGCTACCATTTGGAACCAACTATGCACAAGGCAGGTCAGAGTGAAATCTTGATGTTTTACATTCAAAAATGCATGGCTGAAGCTGCTGCAGTAAGAATTTTATTAAGGTTTTGCTGCACCTACTATAGCTTCCCAGTGCAAGAGTGATTTATTGTGTGTGCACTAGGAGTGAACAGAAGAAAACTCCAAACTTTTCTGTAAGCTATAACTTTGTTTATATGTTTCTTTTTTCCTTTGCTACAAATTAAACTTGCACTCAGATGGTTGCAAACCTACAAATCTCTCCTTTGGAGAGGTGTTACTTTTTAAAATCATCTGTAAATAATATTTTGATACTAACCAAGATCATGAGCCTTCCATTCAGAATAACTTTCAGAGGAACTGAAACTTACTTTAAAATAGTTCTGATAGATGCAGAGGACCTCAGGAACAATCATTTGCCCCTGCATTTCTTTCATCCCTTGAAAGTCAACCCCATGGGGCAGCTGGATTTTGTGAGTGGTCTAGCATTTTTATATATTTCTTTTTTGAATCCTCAGAGCCAGTCTTACTCCCTCTCAGAGGGCAGTCAACAGTTGCCCAAAGGGGACACCCAACCCTCAGCAGCAGCCGTGCAGCCTCTCAGCCACCCATCAGGGAGTGGAGAACCCGAGGCCCATCAGCCTGTAAGCACTTTTTTCCCCCCTCCTCTAAATTATAGGTATAATCAGGCTCTCTCATGGGCACAGTGTTGTTCTCCAATAACTTGTTATATTGTGCCCTCCACAATCCTCTAGTCTAAAAATGTCATCATCAGGCATGACTTCCATGCAGGGAAAATTTTCCCCGGAAAATATTTGCTCCAATATTTGCAGCTAATATAAAAATGTAATCTAGGGACTGGACTTACGTTCCCTAACAGTGTCCCCTTAATAGTGTCTTAAAATGGACAGCATGATGCCATGATGCGGCTATGAGGACATTTCAGAAAATACTAACAGATTTAACATGTGCACAAGGAATGAATACATTCTAAGACTGTGTTTCTATATAAGTAAATGCAAAACCTTTTTAAAGGACAAAAAAATTGTCCCAGTAATGACTTAAATTATTTACACTAGAAAGTGACTTGAATATGTACAAACTTAAAACTACAGTGCTTGAAGTTTTGAAGCAACTGAAACAAATTCACAAAATTAAATACTAGTAAAATACAAGTCGAAGATGTGTGAATGTATGTTGTTGATTTAGTGTAATAGACAATGTTACTTTGTTGAGGTTAAATGGTCATGCTCAATGTAAAAATCCTATGGATTGCTATGATTTCTTTTGAGTTGCAGCATGTCTACAATATGATGTGACTTCTTAGTTCTCTTATCATGTTTCTCCATTCAAACTACTATGAAACTTTCGTTTGTAAGACTCCCTGTGATACAACTGGGCCTTCTCTTGGCTAAAATGCATGATTTTTATATTAAACTTCTCTCTGCTCTTTGTTCTTTTATCATTAGCCTGCAACAATTAAAGTATGACTATTGGACATATACACAATCATAAATAGATACACAAATGCAGGCACTGACATCATGTGCTAGCTCTTGGTCACCCCAATTATGCAATGTGCTTTATGTTAGTTTTTAAGTTATTATCAGCATTAAATCCACTATTTAAAAAGCCTTCTAGGCAAGTTTCGAATCCCCAAGAATATGTCCACAGACCAGGGTCCACAGATAACTATTTGACAAACATTGCTCTAAAGCCAATGGAGTCTTGGCCAGGAAATCACATTTTCCAAGGTACTGTAATATGGAATCCTAGCCAATTCTGAACATTGAAAATTACTTTTTTTGCTTTGTGCTTTCCCCCAATCCTTCTGTCATCATTAATGATTTTTTTTTTTTTACCCGAAGACGTAGTGTTTGTGATTAACCTATTTGGAGCAGTAATAACCGAAGATACTGGGTTATTATCATTTGATAAATTACACAATGTTCAAAGAGTCTGCTTAGCCTGGAAAACATGTCTTTGTGTTCAGTGAGCTTTGTGCACAGACAGAAAAATAAGATCCACTGAAAAACTTGCTCGGGCTTAGCTAGATGACCGTCTATTCTGTTGCATGAGCCTAGTGGAAAAGCAAGTATTGAGATCAATAATGAGATGACTTTGCCATAAGAGTGTGGCTGTAGAATATTGGTAGAGTAATAGAGAGGGAGAGAGATATAGGGGAACCACAGATACATGTGGAAAAATATCGCAAACTTTAGAAGACTTGTGATTTCTGGAAAACTATTTTCAAGGCTGATGAACAGGCACTAGACCAGACTACAGCCTTGCTACTCAAAGCGTTGGATCCTGAACTAGTACCAGCATCCACTTGCCTGGGCGCTTGCTAGAAATGCAGAACCTCAGGCCCATCCAGATCTACTGAACAGACCTCCATTTTAACAAGACCCTCCATGATTCTTATGTGTGTTGAAGTCAAGGAACACTGGATTAGGAAACAAGTTCTCAAAGTTGGCAACACATTGGAATCACCTGGGGAGTTCTAAAAACCACCGATGCCTGAGTCCCAGAGAGTCTGAGGTAATTGTTTTGGTGGTCGGCCTGGGCACTGGGATTTGTAAACGCTCCCCAGGCGATGCTCACGTGTAGTAGAGTTCAAGAAACCCCGACTGGGGCGTGCCACCATCCTTACAAGAGCAGATCAGCACACTGCCCACGACAGCAGGCATCATTGTGAGTGCCCATAAATGAAAACCAACATGTAAATGTGGGAACACCTGCTCTGTGAGCTGCCCACAGTGTTTGTGAACATGCCATGTTTATGACTTCCTTGTGCCAACACTCAGTCAACATAAATATTGTCTGAAAGGGAGAACAGTTTGGGACGTATGGCAGGTGAACACCAGGGGAGCTCAGGTGAAGGTGGAGAGGAACACCTGGGAGCCACATGACAAGAGGGAAATAGGTCCAGATTCCTGAGAAAAGAAGGGAGGCTCTGGAGGCAAGTCAACATGTGACTGAGAATTTGGTATAAAAGTAAGTATGGTTTTAATCGAGAGCATGCATTAAACTGTGACCCCCAAACCCAAAGAAACATAGTGAACCCCAGGCAGAAACCAGTCTAGACCAGGCAGTCATATCTCTCTTATCAGGACATATTTTATCCCAGAAAGTGAGTCCTTCAGAACACCACCACGAGTATAAGAGGAAACAAAAAGGGCCTCTGATGTCAAAACATGACATGCACTAAAGCCTACCTTCTATACTTAAATACAGGTTTCCCATTCGAAGTCTAGCTATGGGTTAGACACAATTACACAATCTTGGCTTTAGGGTTTCTTGTCTATGGTAAAGAAAAAGCTGTCATTTTAAAGAGGTGGAAAAAGGGCTGCCAAAGACAAACACACTGACAGAAGGAAGAACATGCAAACTGTAAAACTGACCCAGGAACTCTAAAGCCATCGGAGCCTGGGGTGACTCAGTGTAGGGGATGGGACCAAACATGTCCCAAGGCACGCTGGCTTGTCTGCTCTACCACACTGTAACAAGAACCCAAGTTCCCAGTGATGATGGGTCTGACTGGGGATTCAAAGGGGGCCTTTTGAAAGGGTGGTTATAATAACTGATGTTTGTGGGTGCTTACTAGACTGTGAGCTGTACTGAGGGCGTGGGCTGTGGTCCATGGCTTCTGAGCCCTTCACTCTACCAAGCACTCCACATATGTCATGGCGTTTAGTCCTCCCAACAATTCCATGAGGGAGATACTGTTATTACTCCCCTTTTAAATATGAGGGAAATGAGGCAAAGAAAGGCCAGGTAATTGGTCCAAGGATGTACATCTAGTAAGAGGTGAAGCATGGATTTGGATTTAGGCAGAAGTTCTTCTTCACACCATGCCTTGGGTTCAGTAAAGGCTCATATTACACCTAGAAGCTAAACTATTGGGATTTCTGAAACTACTGAAGTGGGTCATCGTCTCATCATCTCTCTATCCCCATCCTGAGCTTCCTCCATCTCCCCTAAGCTGGATTAGATGCTCTTTCTTAGTGCTTCCATCATACTCTGCGTATAACACCATCCTTCCTCTCCCATGTGGTTTTAGAGCTGTTTATACATCTGCCCTGCATGGCTCTCTGGGGATAGGACTGTGTCTGGTTCATCTTTGCATACCCATTACCAACGTAATGCCTGGCATGTCGATAATGCTCAATAAAAGTTTGCTGAATTCATCAATTCATTACATTTTCTAAATAAACCTTAAACCAATGTTCTGCTCAGCTGGAGTCCAAATCCCTATGTCCAGTCACACCCCAAGACCAATGTGTAGGTGAGGTCCTGGCATGTGGATTTTACAAAACTCCCCAAGTGGTTCTAATGTATGCAAAGTTGAGAACCATGGGTCTAATATCAGGTATTCTTCTAGTGCAATGATTCCCAAATGTGGGCCCCAGACCAGCATCACTGGCATAATCTAGGATCTTGTTAGGAATGCAAATTATTGGGCCCCACCCCAGATCTACGGAATCAGAAACTCTGGAAGTAGGGCTCAGCAATCTGCAACTGAACAAGCCCTCCAGGTGACCCTGACGTCCCCTCAAGTTTGAGAAGCAATGTGGAAGCAAAAGCCTCTCACAGGTCTAGGGTGGAGCTGGGCCCCAGCTTTGACTATGAACTCCTCCCGCCGTTCTGCACTGGGATGCCTGGATGATGACCTTTAAAGCCTATTTAGCACCGTGCCCTCCTCCCGAGACGTCTCACACCAAATGCAACCCAGAGAGCTGCCCCATTCTGCTCTCCCCACTCCACCCCGCCCCAGGCTGCACTCTCTCCCAACTCTCATCGTGGAGCTGCGCAGGGAAAGGGCAGTGAGAGAGGCCCCTCTGCCAGCCTAGAGGAAGGAAACCACCCTCCGTCTTCTCAGTTCATTCAACACATTCTTTGAGAGGAACTAGCATGAGCCAGGTACTGTTTGAGGCTCTGTAGATACAAGGAGGAATACAATACAAGGGGGAATAAGACGCCTCTGTCTAGCAACAGAAGCAAACAAATAAATAATTATAACGATGTGTGATGGATGCACTAATAGAAGTGTGTCCCTTGTAACAAAGTTCAGAAATTAGACAGTGGAGAAACTGATTCTGTGCAGGAAAAATGAGGGACCACGCTTTGAGAACCGCTGCCTTAGGCATGTGGGAAGGCTTAATGGATCTCAGACAAGGGAATGACAAGGTCAGAGCCGCCCTTTGAATGGGCCCTGCTGGAAGCTGGTGGAGACAGGTTTCGAGAGATACATGACCAAAGGCAAGGAAAGCCCGTGGGAGGCAGTGGCCCTGGAGAAAGATGATGAACCTCTGGCCCCAAGTAAAACAATGACGATGGAATTGGAGAAGTCTGACTGAAGGGTCAGATCAACGTAACTTGCTGACTGATGGGATATGGGAGGTGAGGGACGAGGCGGACTAGGGTGACCCCCAGGAATCTGGCTTGTGTGCCCAGGTGGATGGCGGTGCATCCTAGGGATGAGGCAGAGTGGAGGTTTGCAAAGCAAGAGGATGAGTTTGGTTTGGGGACCTGTTTAGTCCGAGATATCGGTGGTATACCTGGGTATAATGCCTAGCAGGAAGCTGGATCTGGGCTTGAGGTAGTTTGGGACATATGATCTCACAGTCACTTTTGTTTGCTT